AAGAGGGATGCTGAGCATAGGCATCGCACAGAGTTGCCTATTATACAGGCTTCTCTGGGAGGTACGTTGACCTGCATAAGGGTTACCTGCCTTGAGAATCCCCTTTCCCAGAAAAACGGCAGAGGACAGGTCGGGAGTACTTCGGGTCAAACTGACAGCCTGATGGTGACTCTCGTACACAGTCTTAATGTTTGATTTTGGGAAGGTCAACCCCTGCCTCTATCCCTCAACATATGGGTGACCTATTTGCTTGTAATAATATAAAGCCTTTTCATTAATTAATAAAAAAAGGATGATATGTAGGAAGCCGGTTCCTGCATTATAATGCTGCCTGAAGACACCAAGGTGTGAATTACTTCACAGGCGCTGGGTAATCTCCATTCCTTTGATCTCTGCCTATCCCGTGGCTCATTCTTGCCTGAGGAGCTAAAGCCATTCATAGGGTAATACGTCCCAGGCGGCTGGTCAGCCTTTTATATAGGGATGGTTTTCTTAGTTCAATGTCTCTGCTTAGTCTCTGCTCAGTCTCTGTTCAGTCTAATGCATTAAAGCTTGTCTACAGAAGGATCCGAGTGTCCTGCGTGTATTTCTTGCTGGCGAGGAATACAGAGAGCGCGCGGGACAAATCAGTCCATGTTATACAGATTTGCCTTGGAGGTTCCCCTTTATGGATTTCAAAGGCTGTCTATTCCATGCGCCATTATAAGTCATTAAGGCCACTCTGAGGCCATCGCTGATTTGCTGGACATTGGAACCATGACGGTGGCTCTATCTTTCTTCCTGAGTTTAAAACTGATGTAAATAGTAGCACTCTAGGGCTTTTTGGTCATATCCTGAGGCTGTGGAGACTGCTTAATTTTGATTTCTCTTTTCTCTATTCAGTCCATGATGCTGTTAGATAGAATCTTCAGTGGCCCTGCCTTCCCGTACCTCCTGTCTGTCCACCACTACCTGAGTTATGTGTCCAGACAAATGAAGGTTCCTTAAGGTCTGGGTCTCCTGTTACTCTGTCTTAGTTCAGTTTACCTTTTCTACAAGCTCACCCTCTCCCTTTGGATTTCCCAGGATCCTCTTATATGTTATCCCCTTGAACTTGTACACAGGAGCCCCAGGTTTTATAGGAGAGAGAAGATTAAACAAAGGATTCTGAGCATAGGGTGGTGTGGTAATTTGAATATAATGGGCCCCCACAATCTCACAAGGAGTGGCACTATTAGGAGGCATGGCTTTATTGGAGTGGGTATGGCCTTGTAGCAAGTGTGAGACTGTGCGGGAGGGCTTTGTGGTTTCCTATGCTCAGTGTCTCAGTTGACTTCCTGTTGCCTGTAAGAAGTAGGAATTTCAGCACTGTGTCTGCCTGCCTGCCACCATGCTCCCTGCCATGATGATAATGGACTGAAACTGTAAGCAAGTCATCAAAATCAAATGTTTTTTTCTTAAAAGAGTTGCTGTGTTGGGCTGGAGAGATGGCTCAGAGGTTAAGAGCACCAGCTGTTCTTCCAGAGGTCCTAAGTTCAATTCCCAGCAACTACATGGTGGCTCACAACCATCCATTTTGATATCTGGTACCCTTTTCTGGTGTGCAGATACACATGGAAGCAGAATGTTGTATACATAATAAATAAATAAAATCTTTAAAAAAAAGTTAAGAGTTGCTGTGTTGTGTTGTCTCTTTACAGCAAGAGAAACTCTAAGACAGGTAGGCTAGATGCTGCATCTGCTAATCTAGCTGCCTGGGCACCTTTAAGCATGCCCAGATGTGCTTTGAGGTCTCTGTGTGTGTGTGTGTGTGTGTGTGTGTGTGTGTGTGTGTTCAAAGTTCCATATTCCATGGATGATACAACCAGAAGCTCACAACTAATTGGCCCAGGCTTTCCAAGGGTAGCCAAAGGAGGGGAAAGGAGGAGGAAAAAGAGGAGGAGGAGGAGAGAGAGAGAGAGAGAGAGAGAGAGAGAGCACATTTAAGCCCTTAAACCTTTAGACTCTAGGACTCTTTGGGGACTGACCAGTCTTTCTGTTTTCTTTTGTGTAATGTTAACTAATTAATAATTAGAAAATTCACCATCCTAGACTCTGCTTCTAGAACTCTGGGTCTTGTTCACAAGACAAGTACCTATTAAGAACAAGATAAAGTGTCCCCATCAACAAAACAAAACTTGATAGTCATAATTTAAACAATAAGAAAAATGTGGCCAGGTTTCCCTCTAAAGGAGTGTGAAGCAGGAAGTGCCAATGAAGTTCACAAAATAAAACAACCTTAATTCCCTTTCTTAGCTCCTTTCTCCTAGTGAGGATGCACTGAAGTCATGCAGTAATTGTACATTGAGTGCTACTGTGTGGGGAACATTCTGGAAGATGCTAGGAGATGGGGGGTGGGCAGGTCAGGCAGAGTGTTTCCTGTCCTCAGGGAGCTGTGAGGCTGTAGCCAGGAGCTCTGGTTGTGTTCTCAGAAGTTCTCCTGGCTGTGTTAGGAGTAATGAAAAAGCATTAAAATACTTTCTGCCCTCCCCAGTAGGAATTTGACTGGAGAGAGAATTATTAATTTGACATTTAAGATTGAAGGACAAGTGTGTATTTATCTCACTCCCCCGGGTTTGTTTTCTCCACCCGAGGAGCAGCCAGCATCACTGATTGTCAACTGTTGATGGCAACCTTTCCATTTTTCTCTATTGAAAACGTGTAATTTAATGTGAAGTATCTATTAGTGGACTATGAGCAGGAAGAATTCTGAGGATAATGAGCTTGATTTTCCATTTGAAAAGCAATTCACATTCACGGAGCATCTTTTATAAAGGAAACACGGAGCAAAGTGGCTCATATATACTGGCTGCCTCAATTGACTTCACGCACACCTTCTAAGTGAGCATCATTAGCTAGCTTTTATAGACAGCAAGAGGCAATGGCAGCTCAGGGCCCTGGATGGTGTTAGTTCACTTCTGCTGGATGAATAACTTATCTTATTCCCTTTGGTTGAATTTTTGTAAACATGTTAATATTAACACCTGCATTCCATTTGCACAATTCAACTCTTCAAAGCCTGAGTCATCTGTCTCTTTTTGGCTAACATGCTCACCATGTGCTGATAACAGCCTCATGTGTAATCATTTGTAAGCCCAAATCTCTGCAGCCCAACTTGCTTTTGTTCTAGACTGGATCAATAGCGCATCCAGCCTCCAGAAGTCTAATCTGTTTTTTTCATTTAAAGGGTCTCTCTGGGGTGATGCCGGTTGGTCAGAGCAGGGGACACCAACACTCTCACATCAGAGGGGTTACTTACTGTCCTTACAGAGGCCTCTCGCTTCTCTGAAGGCTCAAGAGTTTAGGATGTAGGTGTCTTTATCACCTACCTTGCCTGGAGCTTCCTGCTATTCTATCTTTGGAGTCAACGATAGGCAGTGGGGGGGGGCACAGAAGGAACATACAGAGAAGGGAAAATTCAGATCTGTATGTTGTTTGCACAGTGAGTTACAGATACTTTCCAAATCCTCAGGAAGCAGCCCAAATGAACCAGGGAGGTGGGGGCAGCAGACGAAGCTGGAAGCAGGTGCTTACTTAATTGCTCCAGCTGCTGCCAAGTGTCTGGCACAATTTCCCCCTCTTTGTTTTTCAGTTATTGGCACGAGCACTTGTTTCATTTTTCAGCTGAAGTGTCTAGGAACCCTCCCCTCTCTTCCTCTCAGTTTTACCGGAAAGCAAGCAGGCAGTTTTTCTTTCAAAAATTGCAAATAAACCCAGTTCCTTAGACGTGTTATTATTATTTGCCTCCAAACAACACATTGAGTATAGAAAAGGAAATTAGCTTCAATGTAATTGGATGTTTGATTTGATTTCACCAATGTTGCTATGGGTGGAAATTTTAATTTGCCTCAGAAGGTTTGATCCAATGCTTCCGACCCGGCTTGCGATTTTGATTTCTGAATGGCGTATCTGAGCCTGTCGCCTCCTCAGCTGTTATCTCTTTAAGAGGCAGTTATTCCCCACTGATGTGGCACATTGGTTTTGCTCTCTGGCTTCCCTTTAGAGCTGGAAGGCAAACGTTGCAAAAATATCGACTTCGGGTTCTTTTCCGTCTTAACATTCTGAAAATATTTATGAAAAGTAATAGCCGTGTTGAAACCTTAGTGGGAACAATGTGCCAAGCCAGGCCAATCAACCAGGAGGAATGCAGAAGAATGGAAGATGTGGTCTTTCCTCTTCAGCAGGTTTGGTCCCTAAAGGGATGTAAACTGAGAATGAGGGACACATGACACGGTTGAGAAAGAAGAACCATTGTGGTATGCTAGAGAAAGGCCCACGCATCTAAATTACTGCTGGCGGCAGATAAAGAATATGGAAATTCTTCATTTTCTCCCTTCTCTAAAAGAACTATGCTTGGAGAATGCTATTCAATTATCATTATCAGTATTATTATTATTATTATTATTATTATTATTATTACTATTATTACTATCCAATTATTGAATTGATGAAGATGTTTGAATTGCAATGCATCTTAGGTACTTTTAATCT